GGGTCAATGAATCGAAAGGTGTGCATTCTGCCGAATTTGATGATAGCTCCATTCTGCAAGTGTGCACAACAATAGTGAAGTTTATCATTATATTTGCTCTTCAAATCGATGCATTAACAATTCAATATATAAAATTAAAGTTTGATTGGTTTTATAATTTTTTAAACATATTTAATCAAAAAATATTTAAATAAAAAGAAAATTGTAATTTCTTCACGGATCACAACAAATAGAAAAAAATCTTAATTTATGAATCTTTATTTTATGAAAATTTTTTAATATAATAAGATTATTTTTAAATATAATAAAATAATAACTCAAAATTAAAATAAAAATTTTCTGTACTAGTTGTGATTCGTATTAAGAAGGGTAATCAAATTTACATAAATTACGCAGTCATATACAGAGTGTCTGATAATTCTGTCTATCACGCGCTCATAAACATGTAGAACGGACTAAATTGAGTTGAGATAAAAATCCTTTACCATTTTATAATTTTCACAATAATTCGTTAACAAGATATTAATTTCGAAAGATTGCCGAATAAACGTATATTCGATCGCGGCCACGTCGGCCATGCTGCCAAATGCACGCCTATTGCTCGTAATCGCTAGATATGCGGGGAGTTGTTTATTACAAGCAGCAATAGTTACGCACGACGGCAAAAGAAAACAATTCCCCGCGTGACTAGTGACTACGATCGTGTATTTGGCGGTAGGCTGGGCGGATACGCGATCTTTAGAAATTAATATCTCGTTAATTATTGCGAAAATTGCAAAGTGGTACTGGTAGGACTTTTCGTCTCAGTTCGCTCTACCTGCTCACGAGCGTTGTCGGCAGACACCCTGTATATCCTGTATACAAATGCGAAATACGAATATACGGGAGTCCTGATCATCCTGATGAGTCCTGCAAAAACAAACGAACCTACCTGTAGAATAGTCGTCTGATGTATCCTCTGATTGTTAACGTATGTGTGCGCATCTCTGGAACACGGCGTGAGAGTCACAATGTTCTCGGTAAAGGCTATAACGCAATGCCTGGGCATTACCATCGGTCCCGGCAGCGTCAGTGTTTGCGCTTGCACCGCTTGCGGTCCTATCGGTCTCTCTGATCCTACCTCTGTGACATTTGGTTGTAATCGGTGTCGCACTCCGGCGCCATTCGGGATATCGCTGCCATCAGGATTAAGTTCCAGCAGAAATGGTAGCCTCTCATCCTCGTACCTAAAATAGAAAGCAAATATGGCTAATTTTGTCAAAATATTCATTAAAGGATTAAAGATACTAAAAAGGTGCTAGGATCTGCTACGTCATGAAATATTATGGCCATCAAAATATAATTTTAACGATAGACTAAACATCCATCGGATAAAGAATGTCGGGCAACTTCTGATGTTCTCCGAATAAAAAATTTCCCTAAAACTGACATACTTATGATCTAGCTCGTTCCACTTTCCGGCTGGTTTCTTTTTACGTTTCCGCGGCATGTAATCTGCGGGCCTCCTCCTCACATGAAACATAATGGAACCTGCAATAAAAATGCATGTAAGATTTTATCTAAACGCATCAAAAGAGGACTGTGCTATATATAATTTATAATCTATATGTATAAATTATAAATTTGTAAAACCAAACAAAAGTTATACAAGTTGAGGAGTACAAGTCATGGAATACATAAATATAATATAGACAGACAACAATTTCTCGAAGAACAAAACTTGACATATAACGATATAAAATTGTTTGAATTTCTTAAAATTGTTAATGAAATTGACATAAATAAATAAATAAATAAATGAAAACTTATAACTAGATAGTGGGCATAATGAAGGGTATCAAAAATTTTATCGGTATAGTTCTAGGAATGAGAGTGATAAGAAGAAAAAAGGGAAAATAAAAGGGAGAAGGAGAGAAGATTTTCAATGTTCATATGAACGTTCGTTGGTTGACGTAAAGATGCGTGGCATATATAATAATCGCGCATGAGAAACTTCGCGGTAAATCGTCGAATTAGACGATATATGATGGGCCGGTGCATAGCGATCGTGCATCTCTCTCGCGTTACAATATTACCGCGTTTCCTACGTTCACCGCACGTGTGCGTGCTTCAAAGCACACGGTGCGGGCTTCTCACGGAAGAAAACGGAAAGAGAGAATGACTCTTGGCTTCGGGTCAGCGCGCGGCACAGTCATTGCACCCACTGCCGCCGCCGCTGCCGTCGCCAATGTTTTCATCACATTTTCCCTCATCCTTACTTCTGCAAACGGCGCGGTGCCACCTCATGGCGAGTATTATACGACAAAAAATCACTCTTTCTCAAGGGAAGGAGAATATTTCTCGTGTTTCACGTAACTCCAATCTACCAAGTGTCCCATCAAGTCACAATTTTGAGAAATTTGAGTTTAAAATTATTGTAAAAAAATACTTTTATTTTTCATCTATAGTTACATAGTTCATATAGTTACATCTATACTCTATAGTACACGTATATATTGTAAATGTTTCAGTTCTCAGAAGAAATTCATAAATTAGTAAATTCGTAAATTAAGATCAACGTTAAGATTTTCGTTGCAGTCAATCAAGTATCAAATCAAGTATCAAATGGGGTGATCACAAAGCTCTAAATTGATTGTTGACGTTACGGGCTGCAATTTATATCATTTTACAATCATCGATTTAATAATCTTAAAATCTCAAGGGATTCTCAAAGTTCCTGAGAAACTTACGGTAAATAAGCGTCCGATATTTGAGAATAGAATTCAATGAGCTTCGTCAGAGCTTCCACAAGTCTCTACAAAAGGTATAATCATATGATCAATTTATAATAAAGTTTCGTAAACTTTGATTCACTGAACGTTGCCCAATTTTAGATTCAAATTTACTTGAATTGCTCCAAAATCCAAAGTTGGTTACAAATGCTCGTTGAAAGCAATACATGGGACACTCACCTAACATCACCTCCGCCTTGCCGCTTCGGCGTGGCTTGAATGACCAAAGTCCAATCATGTAACACTTCTAAATCGACGATTTACGAATAATAACATGAAGATTTAACCATGAGAAGATTTTTATCCAAATCACAACCGACACTTTAACAGTTCTATGTTAATGACACGTAAAAAAACTGTGCCATTCAGATGTCACAAAAATACACCTTTTTATAAAACGAGTTTTTCAGTTCTTCATATCCAGCATTACATTTTTGATTCATTTAATTTTATAAGTACAACCATCATCTGCTTCATCTTGTCTCAATTATTGTCGTTAATAGTGTCTCCGTATTAATAGTTATAGATAACGTATTTATTAATAAACTGTTTTTGTAAAATTATAATAGTAAGATGTTTATTATGTGTGAAGAATCTATTAGAAAACATTCGTAAATGAGATATTTATAAAGATATACAAAGTATCTAATTATAAAGTTTATATTATTCCGAATTAAAGTTGCATATAAAGTAATAAGTACAAAAAAAAACGATTAGATTGATAGACCGATTTTCCTGATGATATCGCGAATAAGTATGTTGTTTCACGTCGTTTCTCAGAATGGTACCAATACATTTACAGATATCGGTACATTTACAAATCGATTAGTGAAAAATATCTTCATAAAATACAAAATTCTGGGAATAACACAAAACTTTGGCTCACGTAATTAAAATGCATCTGTTGCAATTTGTACATAACTTTCATCTTTTAGTTCACTCAGCAATAAATGCTACTGTCACATTGTAATATGAAGGATTTGTAAACATTACAGACGCAGTTAACTCAATAATCACTAAGCAAAAATAACTCGGCACATACACTTGACTAACTTAATCTTGAATTAAAAAATAACTGTAAATCTTTATATTACATTCTAAAACTTGGATTGTAAATAAATATATTTTCGTTTCTCTCATTCACTGTCATGATCCTTCGCTGACAAAATCAATTAATTAAAATTTTAATTAATTTTTTACAGAAAAATAATACAATTAAAACGAAACATTTTTCAAAACAATTAAATTTTATTCGTTTTAATTATATGTATATCACTTTATAGTAAATTTTTTACGCGGCATATTATTTTTTGCTGAACGAATTGTCCTTTATTAATATGTAAATTCTAATTCGAATAAGAGAAAGAGAGAGAGAGAGAGAGAGAGAGAGAGAGAGAGAGAGAGAGAGAAATATAATGTGCATTCGAACCTAACAAGATTAAAGATAACGTAATTATAAGTAAGTAATGAGTTTCACGCACGCGCTATTGGGAATTAATCATATTTTTAATTTATATCTATACGCGAATTAATATATGTTTAAAGACTCCGTTTAAACTTGCAATTAAATTTTTTAAAGCTGCGAAAATCTGTATTGTTAAACACATTTAATAAATCGCGTACGTTATAAGAAAATTATTTGCAATATTTTTTATTTTATCTTAAGCATCATAAATCAATAAACGCAACTTTATAAATGCAAATGAAAAATGTTAATTGTTCGCACATAATTATTCGCATATCATGAAACAGCTATAAGCGAAAGCGAAAGCGTAACACCTTTAATGTCCGTGACGCACAAAACGATACTCTACGCGGCTCGCCCGTTAAAACAACACTGATGTGTAACTTCTTGTTACTTTCTGTCCCGTATACAGGTGTATATAGAAACAAGAATAAAGTGCACGTGAGACCAGCGCAAGCGTGTTAACAAGTGTCCCTTGCGCTATACGAAACTATAGCCGCTTCATTTATTCCCTATGAAATTATTTATCAGCTTCCGCATTAAATCGAGAGGGATTCATGCGACAGTTAATTTTTAATGGAAAATATGGACTAGGAAAAACGCTGAAGGAAAATGTATCCTTATAATTAGCGTTGGATAGTGTTATAAATATACATACAGAAGTATCCATGCAAGTGTTTTAACTTCCTACTGAGAGAAAGAAAATAAAAAATTTTTTTTTGCGTAATCAGCAGGCAATAACTCTTCTTTTATTAGATTCTTTCTAAATTACTAATCTACGATTATTGATTCGTTATTTTTCTTGGTTTTTTTTATATATATGACTATAGAGACACTTCTTGAATAATATTCTAGATATGTTTTCATGAATTTGTAAAATTTCTAATATTACATATTATATTATAATTACAAGAAAAATCAAAGCTTTTCTCTCTGCTTTAATTAATTGAACAAAAACGTACATATGTTCACATTAAATCGTGATTAATCGTACCTCAAAGACGTTGCCAAATAATAATTTGTAATATCAATATTTTGATCATCAAAGAAAGATTTATAAACAAAAAGTTTAACAATCAACCTGACTGATTTTGAAATCAGTCATATTGATCTTTATATGGTTGAGCAATAATATATTTTTAATCAATAATATATGATTTTTACAATGTTGTTAAATTTCGTTTTGTTTTTGCAATTGCAATTACAAAATTCTTTTCTTAATTTTATGAAAATTTAACAAAAAAAATATTATCCTATTATTTAATGTGTAAATCTTTGGATAAGTTATGGTCTCATAAATCTCTCTCATAAGAAAATATTTGAATAAAACTTTGTCATAGGAAAAAAATTATACTTATATTATCATTTATAAAAATCATTAAGTGTTAAGTATGCGTTAGACTTTAAACTGACCTTCAAGGTACTTTATCTTAAATAATTTAAAAGTTAAAACTTCTTTAAAAATATAATTTCGAAAAATTCTAAATTAAAAAATTTAATATTATACTTCTAAAAAGAAAATAACCGGACCCAATTTGGACTGTTTCAATGAGTCACTGGTTGTTTGTATATAATTATAATTAATGATTAATTTAAGGATATTTTATATGTATATATACATATTTTCAAAATGATAACAAAATTATGAAAAAAATTACAGATTATTCTATCTATAATCTATCTATCTATTCTATAATCACGTTCAAAAATAATACAACAAATGTGGTAACTATTTACTATCTTGATCATAAGTTATTTTAATAAATAGTAGTATTTTTTAAATCTATGTTCTATAATAAAAATATATGGAAATGTATTATAAAATAAATGATAAAAATCTCAATTTTTAATATAAATACATTATTCATATAGATTATTTATGTAGATTCAAGATACGTAATTCAAGATTATTTACATTGCGATGCATAAACTAGTTGTCCAGTAAATAAACAAAACATTTATTTGTTCTATACATTTGTAACTAATCAGTGAATTGCAATAAAGTTTTGCATAAATTATTTTGAATATTTGAAGTACTTTTAAACGAAAAATGTAAATTTTATCATTTTTTTTAATTTTAATTTTTAACAATAAAAATAATAATTTAAGAATAAAATAAATAATCTATAAAAATGTGTTATTAAACAAAAATGTAATCATTATTCATACAACTTATGTATACCATTTATTTTTGAAATGTAAATATTAAACATACTTCTAAATTTAATTTTCTTTAAAGGGACTGTACATCTAATACATCCTTAACAGATAACAATACTAATTCAAGCAGGCAA